AAATCCACAAGCTACCCTGCAGTATACAAAGTCATTCAAACTACTGTAGCTGCACCTTCACCAGCTCTGAGAACACTTTCATGATCAATCATTATAAAACATATCATATATATTATTCTGAAATAGACCAATCTGCACAACGAATACTTTTACTGTATTATATTTTGATAATACTTTTCTACTTCTTCTTGAGGAACATTTTGAATGCAGGACTTTTACTGTAACAGAGTATTCCTACACTCTGGTACTTCTACTTTTACTCAAGTACAAGACCTGAGTACTTCTACTTTGACTCAAGTACAAGATCTGAGTACTTCTACTTTTACTCAAGTACAAGATACTTGTACTTTTCACTACAAGATCTGAGTACTTATTCCACCTCTGGTAGTGTATTAGTCTGAATTGTAGCTACAAAATCACGCAGAGCTGCATAAAAATAGCCTCACAATGGTAACAAGTGGAAAATAATATTTACAAATGTGTACAATGATTTGTAGGTAATTTTAACTACTCAAGACACCTGACTTATACAAAGGAAGACTGTGTTCATTCTACAATTACATGGGATTAAAGCAACATGTAGTTTTACTTGTATAATACTTCCATTTTGTATAAAAGACAGTTTGTTTTCATCTGTTTTCGAATAAACAAAGTATTGGCTTTCAGAATATTAAACTTGTAACGGCATAATTACAAGCAGAGAACGGACCAATGTAACATCACAGCAAGCATAACAACAGCCGTGTGTTATGAACACATACGCCAAAATGACATCATCTGTCGCTTAGTGACAGGTTTTGGCAGAGCAGCCAATGATGCAATACGCTTATCTGAAAGCGTTTTTCCCCTCTCCTGAAATGACATGACCCAAAAATGTAACTGTTCTTTGTACATATTGGAGTTTTGACAAACTGGCCTTGTGGCCCTGTGAGGTGTTTTAACAAGGAAATGGTATCAGCTCCACACTGTTCTGGAGAGAGGCCAACCTGCACACAGTAGCCTTGACACAAACGTGTGAATTATATTCAAATGTGAACAAAATTGACTGTCTTTGTGTACAGGAACACTGAAAAATGCATTTTAGAGATCTTATGACAGTAAAAAAAAAAATGCTGGAACTTGGGAAAGAATCAGATAAGGATTTGGGACGAGCGGGCATGCACAGCTGCATTTACTGTAAATCCTGGACAAATCTCCACTCGTCAGGAGGTTTTGTCTCTGATCTTTTTGACAGGAAACACTGGAGTGCGTACCGGAATCGTTACACGGAATAATGACCCCTTGTTTAAGCAGAGAGGTAAACACTGGCCGAATGCCATCAACAGCTTCACGTTTCAATGGGTACGGGGGTTGATTTGAACGGAACGTGGACATTAAACCTACGTCATATCTGTGAGCTGCCCAGAGTGAGTATGGCACATCTGAGAGCGCGGCATGAAGCTCAGAGATATGAGAATGACCCGTAAAGGTGGAAAAATGGCATCACCAACGTCATCCTCCTTAACCAACAGCAATGTGCGCAGAACGGCTACGTTCGTGCACATTTTCATTTGATACACGTCACGTGACACATGTACATGTGTACATGACATATTCTGTGTGTGTAGGTGCCCAATCAGTGACTGACTCCCAATCTTTAACGATTGAACCCAAATCCCTCTATCTCTCAGTGGGGCCCCTGGCTAGTGAAATGTGTGGACCGCCCCTGGGATTTGACACAGTTTGTGTTGTGTGGGTGTGAGTGCAACAGGAACCAGCTCTGCGCAGCAAACTCCAAGCATAGTTTTAAACATGAGCTCATCATTCACACATTCTAACAGAAAAACTCTCATCATAGCATTTACACGGATCATCAACAACGTTAGCAGTACAATGCAAATGAGAAGCCTCCATGAACACAGCAGGTGGAAAAACACGTTGATCAGTCAAACGCAACAACGCCTGAGAATCAGGATACGTCAGCAGCCATTTGATACACATTCACCAGTTCTTTATCATCAAATGCCAGTTTTTGAACAATTGTAGGAGATGGCTGCCGGACTTTAAGACCCTCATTTGTGGAAAAATTAGGTCTAAGCCGAACCGGATAATCAGATCTCTGCCCAGTATTTATAGGGCAGACAGATGATAAAAGAAAACTGTTTTTTACTGATGTGGGAAATGGATGACTATCATCACCGTTATCTCCACTCTGAAGTGATACAAAAACTTCTCCTTTACAGTTACCCCAGCCGCTCCTATTGAGTGAATAAATCTACCACTAAATTTGCAATCAGGCAAATCTGCCCTTTTTACCACAGAATGTGTAGTCCCATAATCAACCAAAAAAAAATGGAACATCAACACCCATGATAGCCAAAGTCAGTGTGGGACATTTCTCAAATGCTGTTTCACTGTCATATTTCAAATATATATATATACCCTCTTTAACCACAGACATGTCTTCTACATTTTCCAATTACTCAATAGCATGATGTGTGTGTGTGTGTCACTTCCCTGGTTCGATGCTGCTGGCTGAATTTCCGTCTCACTCGATCGGGCCCCCTCCTCCCCATCTGGTGTAGGTCAGTCTGATTGTGAATGGCCCCGTCCTTGCTGTCCCCCTCTGCCTCCACTGCCAGTGTTCTGTGAGCAGTCCCATAATCCAATGTTCAACACTGCCACACTTGAAACATCTTTCGTCAAATGAAGGTCTTGCTTCTCGTCTTCTGCCTCGGAAAACCTCCTCTGCCTCTCCCTCGGTATTGTGAGCGACCAGCATTCTGCGTCTGTGAGTCCGTTGAGAAAGGCATTATCTGAGGTGTGTCCCCCATCGGGTTTGTTTATCCCGCTGTTGTCCCCATCTACTTGGGGCTGATGGGGGTGGCGAGCTTGGAGTTGACGGACTGCATGGCTGGGGCTTGTAGTGGCGGTGGAGGTGGTTGAGGTGGGCCAGCCGGATTGCCAGGGTTGTACCCCGGGGGAGGGAAAGGATACCCAGTCGAGGAGAGGTCATTCAGGCCTGCAATGGAAGAACACAGAGATGTCTGGGGTTTACATGGTTTTGGAAATAATTTATTTTCCTTCTTTTCTTCACATTCATCTTCAACCTTAATATTTTCTTTAATGCCCAAGGCCAACTGCCTTTTTTTACTCCCCAGTATTATAAACACTTTCTGTGAGTGTCCAGTTTTCTATAAGTCTTTTACTTTAACTTTATTTTTTACCCTTCATTCCATCTTCATGTTCTTGTAATTTATTCTTTAGGTTCTTGATTTTTAATTTACTCAAAAAACCTCCCTTTGGAAATCCGAACATTTCCGTCCAGATATTTAATTTAGACAGACTGTTTTCACCATTTCTGCTCGCATGACATCTACAATCGGACCCTCAGGAGAGTGTACAAGTCCCCTACCTGCTTTGTTCCCAAAACAAAGTCTTTAAGTGTTACCAAAACACCTGCTTTGCTCCCAAAACAAAGTCTTTAAGTGTTACCAAAACACCTGCTTTGCTCCCAAAACAAAGTCTTTAAGTGTTACCAAAACACCCCGTGTTACTAAAACACTATTTTTTCATCCGTCGATGATGTGATATTTGTTTCACAGTACAAATCACACAAACACTGATCGTAAACCCAGGCTACGATATATTGGATATCCCAAATATCCTTTCAAGCAGTCCCTCTCATAAATGTCATGGAGTTTACTTAAGTTTAACTTTAAACAATTTAGACACTGTACATCTCACCGAGTATTGAAAGCCTTTTGAGTTCGTTGGATCTCGTGAAGTCAATCGGTTCCACCCCCGGCGCTGGTCCTCTCGTCCCGTACGGTTTCTGTCGAGGTAGAGGAGGATCCGAGGATCCTGGAGCGCGACCACCAGCGTCCGTAGGTGTTCCCAATCGAACTTGCAGAGACCCTGCTCGCAGCGCCAATTGTTATGGAAATCTGAGACCCAACACTGTGGAGAGTACAAGTCAGAGTGATCAAAACAAATAAATGGTGAATCAGACAGAGTTGTCTTTCTGGTTATTTATTTGAAGCTTCAAATATATATAAATACAATACAATAAATATAGACACAGGTCCCACAGAGTATAGAATAGTCTGCGCGAGTGTGCGCAATTCAATATGGTAGCAAGGCATATATACAGGAAAGAGTGGGAAGTGCAGAAATCTGTCTTCACACGGTCATATTGTTATTAGACACCTGGCCTTGAGCTGTAGAAGTTCTCGTGTGACTTTGTGTGAGTCTCAACCCAGTAGCCAAAACAGCTCTGTGGCCTTGAAGTAGAGTAGATAGAGGAAAACAGCACATCTCAGGAAATGAGAAGCATTTGGTTTAAACATATCAGGATATAATAAAAATGTCCACTACATTCCTCATAAACATTAGAACGGCAGATTTAGTGCAAATTATTTTTCTGCTCAACAGCTGTATTGAATAAATTGGTCCAACTTCTGTTCATTTTTAGTAGTGCATGTCCATTGACACATCTGCAGGCGTGTCTGCCATTGCTCCAGAGCAACAAAAACTGAAGCAAAGGTAGAAGTGACAGGATGTGGTAGCAAAATCAGACGTCTGACTTTAATTCAAAGTCTAACCTTTCAATATTCATAATGCTCCAATGTTTTATTCCCTTAAAAGTGGCGGTAAAATGTTCTCGGGGAAGAGACTGGGTCTTTGGATAGAAGGTGTCTGAGGGCTTGAGAACTCCAGAATCTCTAATCCACAACACCATGTCGGTCCTCAAATGACATGGTTAGAGATGAAAACAAGCCAGTTCAGCACTGGTTTAGATATTCTTTTACAAGAAACAAGTCAATAACTTTTTTCTCTCATGATCACAAACGATTCACATCGATTCGCTGGATGGTCAACCTTTATTTTCTTCTATACCTTCTACCATAATTGGAGAATTTCATGCCTTGCTCCATTATTAAGACTGTGTTGTTATTGTGTCCCTGCATAGGCTGTTACTGCCATCCATCACATTCTGTGTGCTTTTGGCTACTCTACAGGTATCAACAAAGGAAGCTGTTTTCGGATCAATCATTTTCCAGAGGATAACGACTACGATACAGACAGCTCCGAGTACATCTTACGTAAGTCATCGCAACCTCTTCATCTTCAAACACTTAAACCCTTAATCCTCTTCATCCTTTCTTCAAGTGGTGATGGAGTTTTCACAAGGGCACTTTAATGTATCAAGACATCTCTGTGCCTCCCCCATAAAAGTCTGATGTCATGACAGTAATTGGAGCTATGGAGGTGATGAATGTGTGGTGTGCAGAAGAGTAATAGGTCTAAAATGTGGCTTTACTCAAATAATTGTTTTTAAATCTATGGGTGGTTTAGGCTATTACAATTCAATCCATCCATCCATGTTCCTTAAGGTTCCAGGTGAGCCTTACTGTACAAATTACGTTTGGCATCTAGTTTGATGCCCTATGTCCCAAAGCAACTGTTCCTATCTTTGCTGTTGTCTAAATTGATAGATTTCAATAAACCCTCAACCCATGACATGTCATGGAAATGAACGTATGCTACTCAGGCTTTAGTCTCTGTGGAAGCATCCATCTGTTGAACCCATGGCAGTGATTTAGTTTGCCTCCACAGGGATATTGGGATCAGAAAAAAACTTATTAACTTCATCATGTATTTTATAATGTTTTCGAAAAATACTTGGATAGTATTATGTTGAAGGACTGTGCATTTGAACTAAATGTGTAATTTTCAGAGTTGTGTATGTATTGTTTACCTCTTTTAAATGTGTTAAATGCATCTGCCTCTTACAATGTATGCAAAGCTGATACAAAAAAAACATTTACAGATTGCATTACATCCATGGTTGTTTGCTAGCAGTCTTCTTATTTGATGTCTTTGCTTCTCAGAAGGTGTTCCTGCATATGTTCTGATGTAACTGCCACCTGTTGATAAGGGACATAGTGTGAAACCATTGGTAGGAATGTGCATAGTGTATATGTAAACAAATAGAGGACTGACTCCTAGGAAAACTGTGATTTTAAGTGATGTGTTTCTTCAATCTTACTCACAAGGAGGCTTCACTGTCTCTTATGAACAGGTATAGTTCGTGCATCGAGCCTTTTCCCCATTCTGAGCAACGTTCTGCTGATGTTGGGGGGCCTGTGTGTCGGGTTCGGACGCTTCTACAACAACAAGAACAACATCCTGCTCAGTGCTGGCATCCTGTTTGTGGCTGCAGGTAGGAGCAGTTGCACTACAGATACAGTATATACACACAAGCTGCTGCGACAACAAATACATTCTGTGCAGTACAACAGAAAGAAAGACATCGAAGGACAAAAGCACAAAAGACATACACGATGTAAGACGTCCACTTCTGTCTTGTTTAATTTACCCAAACCGTTTCTATAATCAGGCAAAAAATGAAATACGTCTGGCTTTGTCTTTTTTACACAAACCCAAAAATAAAGTGTACATATCTTACACTCTTGAAACAAATCTTGCCTTAACCTTGAAGCTATTGTTTTCTTTAATTGGGAGTGACACATTTTGTTTTGTTGTGAAAATGCAAAAGAGCATCTCAGAAGTAAAAAAACTGCAGGAAAGGTGTGAATATTCAAATCACGTTCTTGTTAATGACACATTTTTTAATAAAGATTATTCTGTCACCCAACAAGGAATAAATATCACTTGTAAAGATAATGTTCTCAGGTGTTGAAGGGGATGAAGTTATACTAGATTACGAGGGTTGTCTAATGTGTGACTGCATCTTGATGATACCGTGCTGTCATTTTTTATCATCCACTTAGCGTATGTGCCTAAACATTATGCATTTTACAGCTTCTCTCTATCTTCATCTCTCCTTTTCTGCTCTCTTCAGGCCTGAGTAATATCATCGGCATCATCGTCTACATCTCCAGCAACGCCGGAGACCCGAGTGACAAGAAAGACGAGGATAAGAAAAACCACTACAACTATGGCTGGTCCTTTTACTTCGGCGCCCTCTCCTTCATCGTGGCTGAATCAGTGGGTGTCCTTGCTGTCAACATATTCATCGAGAAAAACAAAGAGACGCGCTTCAGAGCCGTACGCAACTTCATTAAAGCCACGTCCTCTTCTTCACCATACTCTCGCATTCCAAGTTACCGCTATCGACGAAGGCGCTCGCGATCCAGTTCGAGTGACCTGTCCCGCGAGCCCTCTCCAGTGGGGATGAAGATCGGGGGAGCATGCGGAGGAGGGATAGGGATGGGTCTGCCGATGGGGGATATATCCCTGTACTCCCGCAGTAGGGACACTCTGAAGGGAGCGACCGCTGGGCCCTACAGTCCAGAGAGGGACTTTGGATTTTTACAAGTCCACAACTGCTTCCAGAAAGATCAGACAGATGGAGGAAACAGAAGGACCACGCCGGTATGAGGTTAGGAGTGTTCATTGGAGTGTAAAACATTAGGGTTTGATGGAACACATTACACATTGTCTGATTGATGAGATAGGAAGATAATTCCTCCCCGGGCTGTTCAGGCAGCAGCGGTGTGAAAGGTCCGGACTTAAAACAGTTTTTTATTTTCCTTCTGGAGAACAATTCCTGTGTTTCATTTAGAGAATGAGGATATAACTGTTTTTACTCTATATGTCAGTGTCTAAAAACTGGATGCAAATAATTGAAGTGTTTATTTCTAAAATGTGAAATCTGCTATGTTGAAGCAACTTACTCCTATTACAGAAAGGACAAACATTTCGTAACTCTCATTATATAAGGATAATGACCACCTAAATGAATTAGGGCTAAAAATTGACATTTTGTTCCAGTTTATTTCAATGTAATGAAAGGGTAAAACATTCACTTCAGGTTGTGGATGTGTGACCAGGCCCTCGAGTTTATACAGACTTGATGCTCAATATAATATAGATTCTGAATATTGAACTTCAGGTTATTATTTTTTCTGCTAAAATTGTCTTTTGGAAATTGACTTATTTCTTATATTCCAAGACAAACGGATGTTTATCTCCAAAATTGTGATCCTTTGACTATTATTGTATTATATTTGTTTGTAAATCAACACAACTGGTGCTAACTTAATCTGTACACCTTTGTTAGCCTTTTCAACTGCCATTTAAATAATTACACTGTATCTCAATAACCTCTCTGAAGCTTGTGTGTGAGTGTATGTGAAATGTATTTTATGGCTCTGAGACACTGCCACACTATGACAAAAATGGATTTATGTAGATATCAACAAAATGGACATGGCACACACTAATGTCAGTACATTCCAGTATGATGTGTTATGTGTTAGTGTGAACATGAATTGTGCTGACTGTGTAGTTTCTCTCCATTCACTCAGGGACAATGTATGGAACAAATCAATCTTACTTTCAGAGATGTAGAGATTATCACGAGACAGAACAAATGTCTTTGAGTAGTTTTGTTTTTCATACCTTAGCCTGTGTGTACAAACAGAGGTGAGATCGCACTGTACGTGTTGCTGTAAATTAACATGACACTTGTTCCTGCAATTACTGCCTTTGTGTTCAGAGGGTTTTTCATCCATATTTAGCTAATGCAAAATCATATTTAAAGTATTTCTGTACTGTTCTGCCCCGTGTCAATAAGAAATGTTTGGTAAAAGTATAACTCCCAAGAATCTTTTTTAATGTGACTCCTTGAATTTGACACCTTATTCTGCTTGACGGGCATTGCAAAATAAAACTGCTACATGTGTTTTCAAACAAGAATATAATGACATCACAAAATAATGAATAAGTGTCCTGTTACAGGATACATGAGACCAAATCTGTGTGAAACATAACAATGGGTTTATTTCATCCAGCAAGTTATTTTGAAAGTTAAGTGTCCTATAAACAGATTGAGCCGTGTTTGATTGATACTGGAGTTGTGTATTTCCAACTAAGCAATATGATTTTCACAAACACAGTTGATGCAATTAAAGCAAATAGTTACGAGTATTGTGTGACATGAAGTTCAGAGAGGTCCCAGGAGTGACATGGTTGGACACATGAGAATGCTGAGGCCAAATATATTTGACAGCTAACCAAGGAACTCTGACCAGAATGATTAAACAGCTTGTCACGGGTCATGAACAAGTCAGTCAGTCAGTCAGGACTCTTTACATTCAAACACTTGACTGAAATTACTTGATCCAATAGGCCAATCTTCTGCGAGTCAAGTATTTTAGCCAATGACGCGGGGCTGATGGGCTGCTATGCTCTGCTACGAGACTTCATGGCAGACTGTCAGGCAACCACAGGGTGTAAAGGGAAAACAGCATCAGCCAACGTAATGCTTGATTGAACTAACAGGCTCACAAATGTTCATCCAGACTTAAAACACACATTTTCTTCAATCAAGAGCTGGAGGAGTGGGTTTGTACGTGTGTGAAGATTTAGAAGAAACAGTTAAGTGACTGATTCTTCATACGATACACACTTGACCGGGTTCCATGTCAAAGTTGCAGTTAGTAATAATTTGTTTAATTTGGTTGTTGAATTAGTGTCATGGCGGTTACCACATTTAAACTCATAGTGCCATGAGAGGGCTTGTAGTCCCAGCTTTAGTGGTTATTTATGTCATTGATGTGCAGAATGTACACTTAGAATAGACTTATATTTCATCATGGTGTGTGTGTGTGTGATGTATCTTTGTTATGCAAATCGGGTTTGATGATCTTGTTTCCCATTCCAGCCTTAATTTGATCTTTTCTTTGCCACCCCTCTCCTCTGTCCATCCCCCAGGCTGTTAAGCCCTGTGAATGTGGATGCCATGGACCCTCACTGATATTTTCAGCCACAATAAAGCTGCGCCCACATTCATGTCCCGCTGCACACCAGTGAGATTTATCCTCCAGTAATTGAGAGGAAAATGGCAGGGTCACCCCTCCCTGCAGTCAGGACTGTAACCAGCTTGTTAGCCTCGGTACCTCGCTGTGCAGGAGGAGAAAAATAAGACTTCAGGTCTCAACTCAGGTTCTGCCTTTGTAACTTGATTTGCTGTGACCAATGGTTTCGCATCGGGTCACACTTCAGCTATGTTTATACTAAACCTATTACACCCAATGCCATAACAAATCATTTGCTGCCAGCAAATATTTAAAAAGCAATTCAACAGCTGCAATTTTTGTGTTACTGTTCAACAATATAGTTACACTGATTCCTTACCAATTTTTCAATGTATAAAGAAATTGGGAATACATTTCGTTTCGAGAGAAGAGAGAATGACAGCACACTGTTGTTTACATGCAACTGAAATGTATAGTTTACACTAGATTAGATTTTCTTCCATTGAACAATGGCTTTTAAAATGTAACATATATTATCTTTTTAAACTTTCATAAGACTGACGGACAAGTATTATATCGGACTGTTAAAGGTCCCATGTCATGGCCATTTCTACTGATCATAATTCCATTGTTGAGGTCTACTAAAATAGATTTATATTGTGCAATTTTCCAAACTCACATTGGTTTCTCATACAGCATCTCTGTAAAGTATGTGTATTCATCGGTATTCAATCTCTGTCCTAAATGGCTTGTTGGAGCTCCTGCCCCCGCCCCTCCCTCCCTGTGAGCCCAGTGTGCTCTGATTGTTCGGGACGTTGCGAGGCTCGTTGCGAGGCTCGTTGCTGCGATCTGCTGTGAGGAGCAGACAGGCTTCCGGGTCGGCGATACAGCGAGAACAAGCTAAATTCATCCTGAGCACACACAAACACTCACAGCCGAAGTAAAAACAATAAGTGTGGCTTGATATTGAGTAAGAAATGTTTTTAGAACGCTGTGAGCATGGGTCTGCGGAGAGCATTTCTCCGTGATCCGAATTTAGCAGCCCGAAAAACGTTTACCCATTTAAACAGTTGCGGTAGATACCTTGTTTGTTTTAAACATCATAAATACACAAACAACAATTAATACTTACAGGTTGTGTACCCGAATCTCCCGCTGGTCCAAACAAAGTAGGAACAGCATCGTTCTTCAGTGTCCTACGCTGTACATATCCGGCATGAATCGCTGAACGGTTTGGGAAGCTTTGTTTCGTGAAAGGCTGGCAGAGGGTGTGGCCTCTGGGTATTCAGGAAGTAAACAATGGAATATGAGAAATCTCCAACGAGGTGTTTTGGGGCAGCATGTGTTAGAGTTTTACTCGCTACAGGGTGTAATTTGAGGGTTTTTGACTCTGCAGACCGTTTACATGCATACAAACCTTCATAACACAAGGGGACGGAAAAGCATGACATGGGCCCTTTAAGTACTGTCACAAGTGTTGAGAGCAACACCATTGATGATTTTATATGAGGCAATCTCTCTCTTATCAGCAGTAGCCTACATGTTAGTTTAATATTATATGATTTTCATACTGTTTCCTATCACATGTATGGAGAGGATACAGGGTGAGTGTGGAAGCCAGATGCCATTTCCTTCTGAGGGATCCCTCTCCACGGGGGTTCTCTCTCTTCCCAAGTTCACTTTGAAAATGTAAAGTAGCTGAGACTCCTCCCAGTAGTGGGATTGATTCCTTGCTCCCTGTTGATATATCGGTGCCACACTGTTGATCCAGGAACCCCAGGCATCCATTAACATGACATTTGCCACGGTGCTAAGACTGGATATAGCCAGCAGCAGTCGGAGGTTAAACCTTTTCATCTGCTAGCACACATGAAACACAACAGACCGTCGTGGTGTAGTGTCATATAACAAATGATTTGGCAATGTCTCCAAAAATACAGCTTTTCTGATAAGAGAACATCCCTAACTGTAAACCTGTGGCTGTAACCTAGGTAACCGTTTAAACACGCTATACAGGAGAAGGGATTAACTCCTCAGCTCATGAAATACATTGTTTTTGTCTTCATGAATCATAGACAAAGTTAAAAAAATACAAATGGCAATTGCAGGTTTAGGTAACATTTAACGTTTTAAAGGCCCTTTCATTACAAAGTGTGTATTTTAAATAATTTGACACCATTTATTTTTTAATTTCAAGTGAGAATAATGATGAAAAAACTTTTCAATTCAATAATTATAATTGAATTCATTAATGTGAGAATTTTGCAAAAAATGTTGCATTCTTTAAAGTTTTTCATTGTTTTTCATTGTTCATTATATTATATATTAAATCATTTATTTTAAGTCATACTTGTATGATGTATATGGTACCTACAAGCCTGTAAATACAAAGTGTCTTTAAATATTTCCATGTGAAGTTTTGCAATGTTAATTTTGCTTATAAATTACTGAAATAAAAAAACTATTCAATGGAAATTCAAAATCTGTTTGATCTTCTTCAAAGCATAAAGAGTGCTCTATTTGATTATGAAATATGTGATTACTGTCCAACATGATCCACCAAAAAAAGCCCTTAAAACTTCAGGACTTTTTAAAACGCTGATTGATGAATGGTCAAGCAAGTCATGTGTATTCGTATTGCCCATAGAGCTGCAGAGATCAATGAACTAATCAATTACTTACCAACTATGAAAATGATCAGCACCTACTTTGATAAACCATTCATTGGTTTGTGTAATTTTTAAGGAAAAGTTAGATTCCAGCTTCTTGAATGTTAATATTTATTGATTGATTTACTCGTATGTGACAGTTATCTATATTAATTTGAGTTATAGAAACATTGATCTACATCTTCACCATTTTCTGACAGAAAGAAATAATGAAAAATGAAAATAATCACAAGTTGCAGCCATAACTGCAGAGAATCACACACACAACAGCTTAATGGACTTCACAGACTTAACACAGCTGTGGTTTTAACCCAGCAATAGGTATCCTAGAAAAAAAGAAAAAAAAAACTGAAAGTTTGACAACATGTCTAAGTGAGCATAATTCATGTTTTCAACTAAATGCAATCAGGATTATACCAATACATGTATCATCATTAGAAAGGCTTGACCAATGACCCCCGACCTTTGTTTTGTTGTCATTACGTGGCTGACTGTTTAGTTGTAAGCCCAGTGGCGATCTGTTCATCTGTTATACTGATTATACGGTACATTTAAGCCATCGAAAAGTACTTCTGGGTCTCTGTGTTTCATTCAAGCCCGGCTCTGTGTATGTGTGGCACACGCGCATTTTGTTTTTGTTAGCATCTGGTTAGCTAGCTATGCTAACGCTTCGCGTCGGGCTCCTTATCAGCCTGTCAGTGTTCTTTTCCCCATAACGACTGCGTCGCTGTACATTATCCCTTACATATGATTATATAGAGTCATTATTCATTTGTTTTAAAGCAGGAGGCGCAAACGCTTGCCTCTGGGAGGGAGAAAAAGAGCCACAGCGGAGAATAAACAGAAGGGCAACCATGGCAACCATGCAAGGGAAGTATTCTTCGCTACTTTTGTGGTAGACTACAGCGCCACTTAAGAATTCTTTCACACACAGTGACGTCACGAGCTACCCACAATGCAACACGCGCCATATAAATATATATAAATGCGCCATTTTCCTGGAGGTGCTAATATCCTGGAAGTGCAAATATAAACAGCTAGCTAACTAGCCAGGCAGAGCGCAGTAGGTTTTTTTTCTGAATTAACGACCGAAGAAATCGCTGCATGTCTTCGGATTACATCTCTGGACTTGAGGGGTGTGCTTTAGGTCGTTACCAGCGTAAACTAGAGCTGTGTGGGTTGTTACAGACTGCCTGCAGATGTATGGAAAAACGACAGTGGCCTTCGTCGATTTTGGCTGCATCTACGTCTAATTTCTGGAAACACCAGGTGAATACCCCACTTGTCACAATAATATTATCATGCCATTGCATATATGTGGTATTTTAGAGTTGACTAGATATTGATTAAGGCAATAGTCTATGATATTCAGTACAGGAAGCGTAGCAACACCGAGACGGTGTACGGCTGCTTGCACCTCGCGTAAAACGGCGCAGACCGGAAGTACGGTGTCGCGCTCGGCCCAATACCCGTATGTGTGTGTGAAAGAATACAGTTTAAAGGGGAGTGATTTGTAAAATAAAGAAAAATTAAGTCTGTTTACAGTTCTGTTTCATATGGGTGTTGACAGATGTATCCATAGATCTCTTAATTTTGCTCTCAAAGTGCACCAGATTGATGCATTTAATTTACATATTTAAAAATAAATCTTCCCCTAGAGAATGTTAGGTCCATCACCCACCTAAAACATGCTCACATAGATAGGATACTAAATACATTTGCACACTTTTATATGGTGGCCTATGTCCATATGTTTCTGTTTTGGTGGTCGTGCCACAACCGTGCATGTATGCACAAGTCATACATGTAGGTGCGCTAGAAAATAGCACTACACCCCTGCAATGTGTGTGAAAATAAAATACTTTACAGCATGTTTTGAAATTGAAGTTGCGTTGGTGTTTGTGTGTTGGTTGTTGACGGCAGTGTGTGCCCCCCCGTGGTAAATTATTGCCCCCCCATTTGATTTGTTCTAGAGCCGACCCTGCCGCCAGGTGACTTAAACACACATTAACGTTTTCCAGAAGTAATTAATGACTCTTTGGAGTGTTACATTTGTGCGTTAGAGAAGCAGTCCTTCTAAGCCACAATCAATGTATGCTTGTGTCCTGTGTGATTACAATCAATAGAGTTTGTTTCCACACCATTAGCCCCCAGTAAGAGCTTATTTCCCTTGGAAGATTTCTGGTGTTTGAAGAGTAAAAGCATCCCTGAGGAATCAGACTTAAAATAACAGCTCCAGTGTGGCTGCCCTAATGCAACAATGGTCAGAGGTTGAAGAAGTACCTTTCTGTGAGGTCAGAGGTCATGACTTCTAAGTCATGTATCTGTTATCACTCAGAATGATGGTGAGTTGGGTGGAGAAAGGAGTTGATTGAGGGTTCAGTGTAAACGTTTATCTGGCAAGCATTGGTCAAACAAGTACTCAAATCTTTCACTTAAATAAGTAGTAATACCACAGAGTAGAAATACACTGCTATTAAGTAAAATGATAAAAGCATTAGCATCAAAATGTACTTACAAAGTGCAACAAAGTGCAAGTACTCATTGTGATTTGTATGACTTTGTTTGGCATACTGTAAAATTGCTTCTCAATGACATATACGATGCATTTTTAAGACGTATTTTCCTACCTCCAAACTCTGCTGCAGAAACTCTCCTCTCTCATCCTCTCTGGACTCTCTCTGTCCTCTCACATCTCGGCAGGCTCGTCAGTCCCCTCCTGCTCCCTGGCTAAAGGACGCACTGCGTGCTAATAGAACCGTCCTTCGGGCAGCAGAGCGGAAACGGTGGAAATCCAAACACCATGACGACCTCCTAACCTATCAGGCTCTCCTCTCCTCTTTCTCTGCTTCGATCTCTCAGGCAAAAAGCACTTTCTTTCAAGATAAGATCCAATCTTCCTCTTCTCCTCCCTCCTGGACCCCCCCAAAGCCCCTTCCCCCTCCTCCCTTCGGTCAAGCGACTTTGTTAACCACTTTGAAAAAAAGGTTGATGATATTCGCTCTTCTTTTTCTGACTCACCATTACTCACCACTGGGTCACCAGACCCTCCTTTCACCCACACACTGACCTCCTTTTCCCCTCTCTCTCCAAGTGAGGTTCTTACCCTCATTACCTCTGCCCGCCCTACCACCTGTCCTCTGGACCCTATCCCTTCAAACCTCCTTCAGACTATCGCTCCTGATATTCTACCGTTTCTCACCCATTTCATCAACACTTCTCTAACTTCTGGTCACTTTCCAAACAGTCTCAAGGAGGCAAGAGTAAACCCTCTCCTAAAGAAACCCACTCTCAACCCGTCTGATGTTATAAACTACAGGCCTGTCTCTCTCCTCCCGTTCCTGTCTAAAACACTTGAACGCGCTGTCTTTAAACAACTCTCCTGCTATCTCCATCAGAACAACCTTCAGGATCCGCACCAGTCTGGTTTCAAGGCAGGTCACTCCACAGAAACTGCCCTCCTTGCTGTCACGGAGGAACTGCACACTGCCAAAACTGCATCCCTCTCCTCTGTCATCATCCTGTTGGACCTGTCTGCTGCATTCGACACGGTGAACCATCAGATCCTCCTTCACACTCTTCAAGAACTTGGAGTTTCAGGCTCTGCACTTTCCCTCATCACCTCATACCTCAAAGACCGTACCTACAGGGTAACTTGGAGAGGGTCGGAGTCCGACCCTTGTCAATTAACTACAGGGGTCCCTCAGGGCTCTGTTCTTGGTCCCCTCCTCTTCTCCTTGTACACAAACTCGCTCGGATCTGTCATTAGCCCGCATGGTTTTTCATACCACTGCTACGCTGACGACACCCAATTAATTCTGTCCTTTCCCCGCTCAGAGTCCCAGGTCGTCGCACGCATCTCTGCTTGTCTAGCTGACATCTCTCAGTGGATGTCTGCTCATCACCTCAAGCTCAACCTTGACAAGACTGAACTGCTTTTCCTTCCAGGAAAAGATTGTCCCACTCTTGACCTAACAATCAACATCGGCACCTCTGTTGTTTCCCCGACTCAGACTGCAAGGAATCTGAGTGTGATCCTAGATAACAACCTATCCTTCACTGCAAACATAGCTGCTACAACCCGCTGCTGCAGATACATGCTTTACAACATCAGGAGGATACGTCCCCAGCTGACTCAGAAAGCGACTCAGGTTCTGGTCCAGGCTCTCGTCATCTCACGCCTAGACTACTGCAACTCCCTCCTGGCTGGTCTACCTGCATGTGCCATCCGACCTCTGCAGCTCATCCAGAATGCAGCGGCTCGTCTGGTCTTCAACCTTCCTAAATTCTCCCACACCACTCCGCTCCTCCGCTCCCTCCACTGGCTTCCGGTAACTGCTAGAATCCACTTCAAGACAATGGTACTTGCGTACCATGCTGCGAATGGATCTGGCCCTTCCTACATCCAGGACATGGTTAAACCGTACACCCCAGCACGTGCACTCCGCTCTGCATCAACAAAACGGCTCGCTGCACCCTCGCTGCGAGGGGGACCCAAGTTCCCATCAGCAAAAACACGTGGGTTTGCTATCCTGGCTCCAACATGGTGGAATGAGCTCCCCATTGACATCAGGACAGCAGATAGCTTGCACACCTTCCGGCGCAGACTGAAAACTCATCTCTTTTGACTCCACTTCGAGCGATATAACTATTAACATAGCACTTATATACTAATAAAGGACTGGCTTATCTAAAGCCAGTTGAGTAGCACTTGAAATGTTTTTGCTCTATGAAACCTGATGTACTTATATGATTCTGTTTTCTTCAAGTTTGTATTTTGTTGGTCGAACGCACTTATTGTAAGTCGCTTGGATAAAAGCGTCAGCTAAATGCAATGTAATGTAATGTAATGTAATGTAATGACTTTAAAGGAATGTTATGACAAACTGTATCGTGACGTTTATTTTTGTTTGACTGCAGAGTAATGTCTTAATCAATCCATCACTTATCTAATTGTATGAAGAATAGAATAATATATATCTCTTCTTATTACTTTACATATCTTGGTCATATTTCTCTCACAAGTATTTGGTACTGACAATGTGTTGATGATCTGTGTCAGCTGATTGGTATTACTGGCAGTTTCCTGGATGCAGGAATAAAAACCAGGAACACACTTGCAATAAACCAGTCGTAAAAAAAATGTAAGAGGCATGTCCCCATCGCCAAAATAGATTGGCATGTTGATAGTAAACAGTAAAAAGCCAAGGTGATGGCATCACATAGTGGTGTCCTATATGCCAACAGTAGTTCAAAGGAGGTAAGGGGTCATTCTAGCCTACACTAGTTCACATAGGGTGAGAGCCATTACACAACTTTAGCTTCATAAATCCCTGAACAAAATCAAAGATCTGAGTGGCAATTCAGAGATCTGCAAATTCAGTAATGTACGATCCTATTTGCTGTGAGGTAATAATGCTTACCAGTGCACTACCCTCCACAAGTCATAGGCTTCAGTTGTTTTTAACAATAGTATTATTGCATTATAAAGATATGTGCAATTTCATTCCACCGACAGTCATCTTGCAGAAAGACAAGAAAGTACTTCACTGATTAACCATCAGCATTAAGACAACATATGGACTTATTTTAATAGTTTGGGATATAGCTTATTAAGGTATTCTAATTATAAACAAGTTGATTCGAATCATGTATGATGGTATTTTAATTCTTGGCTAAATTGGTCCTTCATTAAATCAGTTTAAATCACGTGAGTAATCTAGCAAGTTTTGAACATTACCTCTTTAATCCAAATTACGTGTTCTAAACTACCTATTTTAAAGTGAAAGAAGAGTACAATTGTGACTGAAATGATTAACCAAAAAATAAGCTTGTTGATTGATTTATTCAAAGAGGAAATACTTTCTGGGACACTCCTGGGTCGTTGATGTTGACCGAAAGATTATCCCTCAGCAAAAGACTACGCACATACAGATTGTAGCTTGCATCCGTAGGTATTCAGTGATTTCTAGAGCACTATTTTGTTGCAGTCACAACTTTTTTACTTTCACTGTCTCACACTCATGAGGAAGTGGGTCATAATTCTTTAAAGAAATTCAAAGTGGGCCAAGGCTTAGAAAAGATAAACAGGGATACTAACCCTTATTTACTGTGGGGGAGATTTCAAAGTCATAACCACATTCTTTAAGTGTTTTCTTGAAATCCAAAGTATTTTTTCTTGTAATAATAATGATTTGCACAAATATTTTCTTGGAGAATTTTGTTGGGTTATTTTTCTTTCAACTAGCCGCATTTTTGATGGGATGATGTAACTCTTAGACATGAGCTCTTACAGTGCAGTGGTTAAAGAAATGAATACATCTCTGGTTAGCACAAGAATCAAAGGATAAGGGATTGTTTTCCAACTCACAATTGTTCCCAAACTGTGAACATTGTGCTCTGTTATACAGCAGACATTAATGTGTCATAGTAGGATAGCACAGGTAATGCTAATAACACTAAGCATGCTCCAGTTTTCCAAATAAGAGTAAATCAGCATGCACAATACTAGGAACGTGAAATCATGGCGGCTAAATGGCATTCAGTTAGCAGTCATTTAATTGTTTACATGAATAACTGTTGAAGTTTGTATCTGCTGTGTTAAAAACAGCAGAAGCATAATGGAGCCGGTTCAAGAATTTCAAATGGGCAATGCATCATTCAAGAGAAGTAGACAAGGTAGGCAGGCAACTCAAAAAGATTAGCAACACATATATGTTTGTGGGAATCAATTATTTTTAAAGTATATTTCTTTAATGGCATTGGTTGCCAGGCTGTATACTTACATTATACTTGCAGAATTTAGTTCTTCACTTCATATCATGGAGTAACAGTGAACTCAAATAAATTCAATGTATTAAGTCCCACCACATGATTGTCTGTAACTTAAATTATATTTGTAGCCTCATTTGCAGGTCAATATTTTATTGGCACAACCGTAAATGTTTCCTTCTTTGACATTGTTGGCCTTTGTTGGCCTTTGAGATTGTTGTGACTTATCCACTTATATTCACGAGTACAATCACATAAACTATGTTTTGCTCTAAAACAGATCACTTTTAAACAGAAAGACAGCAGTCAGGAGGTGTTCTTACTCATTTCACCTTTAAAATGTTTTTGAGATGTTCACACAAGTGAGGAAAAACAGTGAATAAACAATGTACCTTGGTACTGTAGAGATGATATTGAACGCCTCAATAGAGGAACATTTTGTTTTTGGACAATAAGTCATAGTTTTAACAGAAATTACTAAAAATGTACCATCAGGGCAACTTTACTATTGCCTGACAGCTGGAGCCTTGCTGCTGCTCTCTATAAACACATCCACTTTCTCCTTGTAAATTGTTTACAAAGCCAAATCCACACCGAGGCGAAGCCGTAGCGAGGCACAGAGTGAATACACAGCCACTCTTGATAAGTGGCCACAAAAAAAGGGAAAGTATTTTCACATTCATTTTGAAAGTTGCCTGTTCATTTGGATAAGTTAAACTGTTTAGGTGGGTTCACTTATTATCACACATTTCACATCTCTACCCACTGGCACTGTAACCAGATAAGCAGAGAGTCTGACAACTTGACTCACCGGTCACATTTATAGCATCAAAACGCCCACCAACACATGCAGCACCCCAAAGCCCACTGCCTCCCATGGCCGACAGTTGATTTGGTCATCAACTTTCTTGATCTACCTTAACAGCTGTGAGTCTAAACTTGCAGCCCCACAGTTGTACTGCGACTCATAGTCAGTAGGAGAAGGGGACTTGAATCTAGGACAGAGCAGTCTGGCCCATTTCCCTTCGAACCAGAGGCAGAGATCTGCGACAGGGGGAGAGAAGACACTAGTCTTAGGCGGAGAGAGAAAAAGGAGAAGAGACTTTGTGGGAAGCTTGCTGCAGTCACTGAGGAAAGAAGCCCCTGGGACACAGACCAGTGTGTTCACATTGCAGAACAGTCATTTTTATAGATTTCTTTTGTATCTTATCAGGGGAAGAATATTCACTGAGCAGAAATCTCATCACCTGGAAACATGCAGAAGCGCACAAAGATAAAGATTGCCATTTTCGTGCTGATAGTGGGTATGGCTTGCATGTTCACTGCGGTGGTAACGGACCACTGGGCAGTGCTCAGCCCACGGGTGGAGAGAGTCAATGAGACCTGCGAGGCGGCCCACTTTGGCCTGTGGAAGCTGTGCAAGAAGTACATCTATATCAGCGAAGAGAACTTCGTACAGGGGCATGGCTGTGGACCCATCAGCCTGCCTGGAGGTAAGAGAAAACAACTGAGCAAAACCTTCCTGTAACTGGCATATAAAATGAAATTACTGTTGGAATATAATTTGTATGTGACTGTGAGGCGCTTCGGTGCAATCCGGCCCACCGCTCTGGGGTTTGGGCTTCTAAGAATAGAGGGCCTGATGCAAGATCACTCGCCATGTCATATGACATGCCATACAGTTCCTTGTGAAACAGAAACAATGTCCTATTTTGGGTTACATGCATGCAGTCTCCATAATGTAATCAACTTTTTTTTTAAACAGCTGGCAGGATTTGACATACATACTGACAGGATTTCATTAGATTATTCATGTTGTCAGTCATCAGTGGTGTAAAAGTACCCCAGTGTAATGCATGCATGAGTCTCTGAATTTATGTTATGAATATATATCATAAGGGGTCTTCTATTTGCCACTGGGCCTCAGTCAGCTGGGTGATGGCAGACTGACACTCCTTTGAACAAACTAGTCATTCAGGGTAAACAACAGGATGCTTTCACTATCAGTCTCTGTAAGTACTTAACCAGATCACAGTAGATATTTGGCATCTACAGAACATGAGCCATGGAGTCCCAGGAGGCTCTCACTGAGCAAACACCAAACACCACAACAGCTGAGTTTACTGGTTGGTGTCTGCTGTCTGTTTAAAGAGGTATTCGTCAGTTTAAAAAAAGCATTGACCATTGATGATCTATAACACATATAGGTGCCTGTATGCACTCTATAGAAGTTTCTCAGGGAATTCGCTGTCATTAATGGAAAGTAACTAAGAACATAATGTACTTAAATGCAATTTAGGGTACTTGGACGTAACTAAGATTTTATAGGCCCCATTTAGTGAATGCACAACACAGCAGGTCAGCTGAGTAAATATGTAAAATGTTTATTTCTGTGTAGCGCTAAATCCCATATAGTTTAACAAATACGAAGAATGACTTTTCCAACATATCATAAATATTGACTTTGCTGTTAAGTCAGTGTTTCTGGTCATTTATTATATCACTTTATTTCTAACTCCTCTTAATCTTCTCCACCAAACTTCTCCTAATTTGGAACACAATAATTAAATGGATTTAGTGGTATTGATACCTAAATTAATGTAAACAAACCTAATGTGGTCAGATGTTATGTATCCAAGTAAAAGACATTGTTGCTATGAATCTCTCAAATGAAACTTTCTATGAGACCAAATGTTCTTACAGCTGTTAGAATAAAATACAGACTGCATCTGAATAAAAAGGATGTTAACAGTGTTGAGCAGTTGCTGTCCAACAGTTACTTCCTTCTCAATAACATGGTGTTAGTCACTCTTCTGAGGAAACACTATCTAACTCTTGATTGTTATCTGACCCTGCATGTTGCTTTATGTAAATTCGCCTGGACTTCCCCACCAAATTTGTCCAACACACAAAGCTAAACGAATCTCCCAAAATATCTCCCAACTCATGGCGGCTCCTAAACCTTTGGGAATCCCAGACACTGTCTGAACTGCAGGGCCATTCTCGGAGCGGCTGAAATGTGAGGGTGGTACGTTGGTGCAGACACGGCAGGCATGTGCTGAATATGCTCAATCAGCTCTGCCCACAGGCACGCAGGGAATTCCTCAGGCTGTAAAGATATAACAAGTTTCATGAGCTTTTCATCTGCACATACACATGTACCGACAATGGTTATATATATACATTTTTGGAAGGTGAAATTATTATATTATATTATATTTGATGTATTGCAAAGACACTACTTGTTCCTGAGTAACGACTATTGGCTTTTAGGATTTCAACATTACATGTGATTGGTAATGGCCACCTTGTTAGTCTTTATTTAAAAAGTAAATAAATCCATCCATCTCCTGGGGTTTCTCCCGGCCCAATAGCTGTATTTGGACAGGAACATTATTGTTTATCACGTCCTCAGAGGTTGTGTCATTTTCTGATACAAAGCAGAACTTGAAAAGTATGTGAGGAGGTCCCTCTCGCTGTGAGACACTCATCTGGAAAATATGGACTGAGTTGTTGCTTAGTTCTACTGCTGACAAAATGCAGATGGTGAGATAACTAACATTATGCGTCAGCTCAAAGAAAGAAAGTCCCATGTGAGCCAAATTAACCTGAGGGCTAGTCAGAGTTGTATTTATTTTAATATTGTGATCCTTTTTAATACTGGTGTTCTGAACTGCTGTTGGCTGTAAAAAGGCAACACTAAAGATGTTACAAAGCACCTCCTGGCCAAGGCATACAGTACAAAGAAGAGCAATTATTTAATGTAATAAAAATGTCAGGGAACAGAAAGGGTGTGTTTTTTTAAATAAACGTGTGAAAACTGCTCAGCAAGCAGTTGTTTTGGTGATATATATAGACCACGTAAATACTCAGCTGTCTTGGGTGGAGGATGTGAGGGTCAAGTGTTCGCGCCAAGTGCAGCGGTCTTCTGAGTGACGGGGCCGCATGGAAGAGTCAGGCATAGCTCTGAGGCCCGCTGTCACACCAACCTGTTCCTTAGAGACCTTCCTGAAGCCTTATGACTCCGTTCAGCTCACACAGTCACTCAAATGACTTTACACTGTCGGGGGATGGGATGCATGGTCCAAAAAGCAAGTGGTACCACTGGTATTTTTGCTTTTACAGCCACTCAAATTACCTACCAACCCAGGGATGGTTCGTATAAGGCAGGGGTGCCCAACCTTTTTTGAACCGAGAGCTACTTTTAAAGTTGCCAGTCTGCCGAGATCTACCAGTCCAAATAGAGAGGCATTACTGGCAGCCTACTGCCAGGTAAATACACACTTCTACTTGTATAAAACTGACCATTGTACGATGAATACTTCATAAAATACTGCAGATCCTTTATCTTACCTCTTTCTAATCTACACACATACAAGTATTTAACTGAAGTTACACAACAGTGTTGTTGATACAGAGTTGGAGTTTATTCACACGTCACTACAGTGGGTAATGTTTTCAAGAATCATTGAACAGTGCTGCCACATATGACACAGGAAGAAAAGAAAATACTCTGAACCCTTTCTTTGCCATTATGTATACAAATAGTGTTGCTACAAAAGTATAAATGAGGCTTAAGACAACTCAGATCTGAAGCTACACAGGAATCTGCTGCCAAAGTGCAATAAAAAAGACAACATTAATAGAATCAAAGCCTTTTTTTGTTGCATTTTAGTAGAGTATAAAAAGAAATGCCTTTTAAAATAGGATGCAAGCAACACTAGTTTCTTAACCTGAATTGATAATAGACTATAATCAATTTAAACAGAACATATCTTAATGTTTGCATTCTTATACCATTTTGTACAATAATTATAATGAATAAGTTCAAACAAACTAAAACTTACAGCTGATTAATAACGGTATCTAACTTGAGTTTTTATTATATCAAAAACCTGTTGAAATGCTGCTGTTATTTTTACTGTCCCCCAAAAGCGCGTCAGCAGCCTCCAGGAAAGCTTCTTACACAACTTCGCCGTCTTTGAAAGACTTCATGTGTTTCGCAAGAACGTGACTGACACGATAAGATGCTCTGGTAGCAGCCTTGCTCTTGTTGTTGGGCCTGGTGAAAATGGACTGCTGTGCATTTATTTAGCTGTCCTTTCAGGCCCCTCCCCTTTTGGGAGCGTAGGGCAGAATCAGGAGGGAATGCCATCTCGTAGCTTTTGTGCACTGTTTTGAAATGCCGCTCCTAAATTACCATTCTTTGATAAAGCCACGCTCGCATTGCAGATGAGACAGATGGACTTTGAATTGGAATAGATACAAAAATAATCATCCTCCCTCTCGCAGTGACAATTATATATTTTTGGGCTTTTTTGCTTCTGCCATAATTGCGGTCTTGTGTGTGAGCGGACTGTCACTCCTGTTGACACGGTCGGACAACAACGTCAGCGAAATAGTACCCACTGCCCACCAGCCACGCCCCGACACATGGGGTCACGCGGCCAATCACAAAGCTTTGATGCGTTCAAGTGCATTATTCTGGCACAGGAAGATTATGTTACAGGACATTAACGATAAAACTATAGGTTACTTACGTAACCCCAGTTCTCAGAGTAACATGAAGTGAGATGTCTCACTATGGGATGCGCCTCATCGCGGAGCAAACAGAAGCATCAATCTCATTACGCCAATCCTGATTGGCTGGTGATCTTGACGTCAGCGTCAGGGAATTCACCCCCTATAAGTAGCTTGCGCCACGACGCATGCGTCATTCAAAATAAGCACCTCTTCTCGCTTCACCATAGCAAGGAGGGCCGTCTGGTGAGACATCTCACTTCATGTTACTCTGAGAACTGGGGTTACGTAAGTAACCTATAGTTCTCATTCATAACACTCCGTTCGATGTCTCACTATGGGAAATTGTAGCTCCCGTATTGTCAGACGAGCTTATCTCGAAAATCACCAAACCAACCAGAACTTAACAGGTAGAGGTCTGACTCAACCAGGTGCCCAGCACTGCTTGACTCACACTGGGAGCAGAACGTCCAACCTGTTAGGATGCAGACAAAAGTGAGCGGCGAGGACCATCTCGCCGCTGCACCAATGTCTTGGATGGGAGACATCCTCAGAGTCCAGGATGCAGCCAGACCCTGAGTCGAAAGAGCTCGCGGACCCGAGGGTGCCTGCGAACTCTGACTCGTATGAGCCCCAAAGCAATTGCTTCCACAAACCAGTGGGAGAGCCGTTGCTTAGTAACAGGCTTGCCCTTATAAGGGTTAGCCCAGGACACAAGGGATTGGTCATTATGACAAAGCACCCTTGATCTGTCCCTGTACGTGCGTAAAGCACGGGCTGGACATGGCAAATCCAGCCGCTGTTCCCCGGAGGAATACAGTGGCGGGGAGGATAAAGGCAGGGTCAGGCTTCAACCACACTCTGTTTGCCCTGGGGCGAACTGAGTGCATGAAGACTGTACAGATAGTGCATGAGTGCCACTGGCTCGCTTGGCAGCTGCCAGGGTCAGCTTCATGTCACACTGTATTCAGAT